ACCCCCCCTGACGGTAGTGAACGCTGTTGATATTCAGCTGCAGAAACCATTGGTAGCACTTTAACATCAGATAGCAACTCATTGCCATTATATATCCCTACAGCCAGTCTACACTTAGTACATGATGATGGCAGACCTAGTATAAAGTCCCAGAATACCGAGAATCCAGCACTGAAAAGAATACGAGGCGATGATTAATATTAAAAGAATAAAAAGTATTTCTTTTTTTTTTAAACAAATACAAATGGCCGCAAAGCTTCYTGGTTGACACYGGGCATTTAAAAYAYTTGTCTTTACTCCGACGAAGGATTAACGTCCGAAACGTCAGTAAGTTATTTCACMTAYTTTTTTACGGTGTTAAATWTATCKTTTTACTAGTACATAATTKKTTCTTTAGAAACACCGACGCAGCTCACACTAGTTTACTATATTGGTCTGTTTTACTCTTTTTGYGTGTTGATCTGTGGCTATTGCTTAGTTCATCAACGGTTACTTGATTAAATCATTAGCAGCTTTCTCGTTAATGCTACTACTTTTGCTCCAATAGCCTGTGTTCAGCCGAACCAAAACTGTTGTTGTTTTTTTGGTTCGGCTGCAAGCGGGCTATGCTCCAACGGCTGTCAACTTTTGTTACAAAACCCGTTCAACACGGTGATCAACGACAATGAAAGGTGGGTGCGCAAATGATTTCAACATTTGCTTCAACATGTTCGATTTTTTTGACAGGAATAATGATCGAGTTTGCGCCAGCGAATACTGCGCAATTGCAGTATTGCATTGTTGAAATGCCAGCGCAAATAGTCTTAGAAGCATTCTAATCAGCATTTCCTAGAAAAAAAGAAATGAACGGTTGTGGATACAAAGTTTTCACGTTCTTAAACTGATTGAACATTGATTCAAAAGTTGTTGAAAGCCACTCGCAAAAACGTTCATCGCAGTTCAACGAAGTTGAAAGAATATTGAAAAAACGTTGAAAGCAGTTGTGCAGGCCTTAATTAATGAGAACCCCTCAGGAGAATAAAGTACATAAGAACCAGACTATCTTTATACCTTGGATCATAAGGACTTGGTTTAAGGCTGACGTCCAGACCACTCGTGGACATCAAAAATGGAACCTCATGTGTCTGAAAAAGTCAGATAAACTCAATTTTATCCTATTCCTACATCTGTTGCYTATGACTTACTTCTTCCAGGGTTTGTGTTACAATTTCACTACAAAATTCCAGGACTTTTCAAGTACTTGTTAAGCACAAAAATACTATTTTCAAGGACTAATTTTGAATTTTTTTTAAGTTTGCGGACGTTTTAAGTGGGATTTTCAAAAATAGCCACATTTCAATCCAAAAGTTAACAAGCAACATGACAATTTTATCAGATTCAAGGAGTTTTTTTATTATTTTTAGCGATTTTTCCCATTTTCAAGGACTTTTCAAGCGCCCTTGAAAACGAGTTTTCAATTCCAGGACTTTTCAAGTATTTCAAGGAGTAGCACGAACCCTGTTCCTTCCTCCCACTTTTCTCCCCCTCCCTTCCTGTAATTCAATATCTCTTCCTTGACTCCTTTGTTTCTTACTTAGAAAAGTCATTGGGGTTTAAACATATCTATCTGGAAAATAAAATTGTTAAATCTTGTTTACCTGTTTTGACCGAGATTCAGTTCTGTCCGTTTTTTCTCCTCTGAGTTCTTGCAGTTCTTTCTTCATTCTTTCAATCTCGGTCAGTTGTTTCAACATTTCACTTTCTTGTTTTAGTTCTGTCATTTTTTCAAGATGTTGCATTTTAAGGCGCTGGAACTCTGGACTTAACTCTGACATAAGAAATAGAATTTTATAAACTGAATGATCTATCTGTGAGAAGATTCTATAAAAACGTTATTCAATAGTAAGTTGAATTCCTTATTTTCTATTTTAGTAAACCTGTCATCAAAAATTATCACCAACAACTTATTTCTGTTGCTGTTGCTGTTCTTGTTGCTGTTCTTGTTGCTGTTCTTGTCGCTGTCGCTGTTGTTGTAATTGTTGTAGCTGCTGTTGTTGATGTTATTGTTGTGGTTGTTGCTATTGCTGCTGTTGTTGTCGCTGTTGTTTTCGCTGTTGCTGTTGTTTTCGTTGTTGCTGTTGCTGTTGTTGTTTATGTGATTGTTGTGATTGTTGTTATTGCTTCTGTTGTTGTCGCTGTTGTTGTCGCTGTTGCTGTTGTTTTCGCTGTTGCTGTTGTTGTTTATGTTATTGTTGTGGTTGTTGTTATTGCTGCTGTTGTTGTCGCTGTTGTTTTCGCTGTTGCTGTTGTTGTTGCTGTTGCTATTGCTGTTGTTGTTGTTGTTGCTGTTGTTGTTGCTGTTGCTGCTTGAATCTTCTTCATGCTTCACGAGATCATAAAACTTGTAGAGCTTATAGCTCATATTAATATTACTTTTCTTTTATCATTTAGTATATTATTCCATTAGTTCATGTAAGTTCTGTAGTTGGTGATGATGTTGTTGTTGTGCAGTCATAAAATTAAATGTAAACAAACGAACCTGGAGTCTTTCTCTGGCCATCACTCTGCTGTTTTTCCATCTAAAATGAGAGAGAGAGAGCAACGCAAAGTTAAAATCCAATCTTCTTTAGCGTCAACAAGAAAATGTAGTAAACTTCTTTAAAGTTGTTTACCCTGAGCAGTTGTAACTCATGTTCCAGCTTTTGATTTGCAAGATGATATTCCGTTATCTGTTGCTGTATGACAGGATCAGTAACCGCTGTAAACACAGTTTATCATATTCATTAACAACTCATGACTACAGTTAACTCTTGCCTTACGGACACCCCGCTACAACGGACACCTCGATATTGCGGACAGTAAAATACTGCATCCCCGGCGAAAAATACAAAGAAATGACTGAAAGAAACTCCTGTTATTACGGACTCTCGCTACTTCGGACACTACATTACGGTCCCAAGGGTGTCCGTAATAGCGAGAGTTGAAGTCTGTAAAAGGTAAACACAATGGAAAATTATTGCTGTGACCGCATCTTTATATGTGTAAGAGATTAACGTTCCATCCTTTTGTTCTTTCATATTTCTCTGCTTTGGGATGATTCCAACACAATCCTTTTCCCTGACAAGTTTTCCTATAGGTATGAATATGTCATATTTTGCATGAATTACTCAAAGCTTTGAGATTAGGGCAATTACATCCAAGTAGYAMTAAATKCAWGCTTTGCTTGCATGGCCYTTTAATACAGACTTGTTTCTTCACCTGGCTTTGGGGCTGTYTGTAAGCCATGTGCTTCCTGCTCTAGTTGCAYTATCTGCGAGAGTATTGCTGGGTCTCTTCCACCACCTTGAAGATAGGACAGTTTGATAGCACTGACAAAACAATTTAAAAAAAACAATGTTACTAAGTATATAAAAGTGTTGACATTTAATCCTAAGTATGCCTAAAATCGGAATGGACATCTTTTCAGTAGTCTATATATCTTGAAAGGCAGCTTCATCATATTAAACAAATGGTGAAATAAACAGCAAGATTGCAAATGATGGAACCCTTCTTCAACACCTAACAACTACCTACTACAAGCTCTTCCTCCCTTCCTTGCAATAACCCTTCTATCCTTCTTTCTCCCTTCCACTCACTCTTCCAC